AAGATGGCGCAGGGAACTGTGATGGGGGCTATATTGTTTGTTCCTAAATACTGGACAATTGATAGAAAATTATATTGATAGAAATCGATTTATCAATTGGATTTCAGATGGTCAATTGAGTAAACTGAGCAGATTCCCTGCTGCCTTTCACTCCTTCCTTTTTCCCTAATATATGTACAGGGTGCTAGTTACACTTCAACTTTTCATTCTCTCATTTCAACAACTTTTGCACTTCTTTCCTGGCCTTAGTTACTTTAATATCTGCAATATCAGTCTTCATTGTGATTCTCGGTAGCTGTTCATTCTGTCTATCTACTTCTTGTCCCAATACCAAGGCATCTTCCTTCAACCGACCAAGACCACGAGACATGTGGCTTAAATTTTCATTTAATTCTCTTTCATAAGGATCATGCGACGTGGAAGCACTACTGCTTATTTGGTTTACCTGAGGATAATTCTGCCCCGTTTGTCTTGCTCTGTTTGGCGTTGGAAAAGAAGACGAAGCAAGCATATCCCCGACTCCACGTTCTGGTTCAAGAGGAGAGTCATGAGAAGCTGTCTGCTTGGGAGGCTTCTTGAAATAATTCGTCATTGTGTTAAAAACACTCTTCATTGACGAGATATGTCTATTAGCTACAGCCATATCCTCATGAATAGCGTCCAGGTTACTTTCAATACGGTTTAACTGTTCGCCCTGGTATTGCAGTTCTTCTGCAGTCTTGATGGCCACATCATGTGAATCTTCAATCAAAGCTAGTGACCGCTTTGTGCTATCCAAACTGCGCTGTTGTGTATCTCTCATCTGCCTTTGGAGTAGATCTTTGTCGACATGTTCAAAGTCGTCTTCCAGTTCGTCCTCGAAAGGGTTATGTCGATGAGTATTTTTCCCTCTGTTTGTCCCTCTGTACGCCGCCATCTTTCTTGGGCTAATTTTAGTGTAATTGCGTCATTGTTAACACAGGGAGTCCACTTTAGCATGTTTAGTTAGTTGTGCTCGACAGCCTGCGTGACGGGACAGCGTGACAGGCTTTTAATTAATTAATGACGTATTTAAATTTTCAAAGTTGCAAACCTCTACCTAGACAAGACAAGACAACGTATTTTATTGGCTCCTTTTTTCACCAAAATATTAACAAGTTAAATTATTTGTCAAATATCTTATTGCTTTAGATTAACCCTCTTTTTAAAACAGTCATGTATATATTTAGCTAATACTTTTTGGATTGGTTTGTTGGGGTTTATGATAAAATTGAATTTCTCTTCTACTTTAAAGTTTGCTGCCTCCTTTATCTTATTCAGAAGATTTTTTCTTTCTACAATATAATTTGAACATGTTAGAAGGAAGTGTGCTTCATTTTCTAACCTTACATACCAGAGGCTTACATACAGGACATAGTCAGACAGACAGACAGACAGACAGACAGACAGACAGACAGACA